GTTGTTGTTGTTGTTGTTGTTGTTGTTGTTGTTGTTGTTGTTGTTGTTGTTGTGCTATCACAATGTACAAACCGGCATGCACGGTGTGGCGGTTAAGGCCTACACGACACCTAGACAAATCTGTCTTTAGACAGACTAAAGCCTGTGATTTACTTGATTTAGGGAGTTGTGAACCATGGAGTAATACGAATCATACCGCACTTCTCTGACACTACATTTTAATTTTAGTCGTGAAAAGTTGTGACCGGCCACAAACTAAGTACGACAAGTCTGGCTACAGACTGGTTTGAGCCAGTAAGAGAATAGAGCAGTCTACCACACTAAGATAAAACTGCCCTGATATTTGATGACACGCCGAGTTCATACACCTACACATGTATACATCTGGTAGTGTTTTGATGACACGCCGAGTTCCTTTCACCAACACATATATATGCATCTGATTGTTTTTACGCCAAACTACATTCTGTGCACATCGAGCAAGGACCATTAGAATTATTTTTTTTAAAATCAACCATGGATGTTGATGTCACTTTGACTGATAAATTAATAAGTGCAGTTGAAGGCAAACCTTTGCTATACAGTGAATCCAAAATCTTGTTTTATGTTTCTTTCGTCTGATTGAAACCATTAGTAGAGCACATACACATGCTATCTCTGTCAATTCCATGTTCGAAATGAATCGTTAACATCAAAGTCTTTAGACGCTTTAGTCTTAGTGCGGTACGGCTCAAGTGAAAGTTATATTCGGCAACAGAACGGACTAAACGGTCTAAAGACAGATTTGTCTAGGTGCGGTATAGAGTCTAGGCCTAAATGTTCCGCCGTCGCGCGCAACAGACCCGAGCTCGACTCCTGAGTGGGAAGAATTCTTATCGAAAACATCGGTCATACTGCTGGAATGTTGCCTCCAAGTTTCCCTAAGTTGCCCCCCCCCCCCTCTCTCTCTCTCTTTCTCTCTCTCTCTCTCTCTCTCTCTCTCTCTCTCTCTCTCTCTCTCTCTCTCTCTCTCCCTCTCTCTCTCTTTCTCTCTCTCTCTCACTCTCGCTCTCTCTCTCTCTCTCTCTCTCTCTCTCTCTCTCTCTCTCTCTCTCTCTCTCTCTCTCTCTCTTCTGGCGCTGTGGCGTCATAAACGGTCAGTGATGCCGACAGCACGCAGGAACTCAACGGGGGGGGGGGGCCTTGAAAAGTGCTGAAAGTGGGTCACTGAGCAGAACATAAGTCCCAGCAGACAAGTTCTGGCACGATAGTTGGCGGGACATTTCAGGAACACGTGGTCCATAGTCTGATCTTCCTCCTTGTAGGCTCGACAGGACGGATCTGGGTAGTTCGCTTGCGCAATTTTGTGGAGATGTTATCTCAGCTTGGGCGATTTTCCACCAGTTCTCATTTGGGGGAGAAGCCGGCGGTCCTGTCGTCTGAACAAGGCCTCAAGCTGGTATGATGGCGGCTGGTCAAACTGCAGTTTGGGTTTCGCCTCTCTTTTCCACTTTGCGCTGGTCGACCGATGGATGAAGGCTTTAACTGTTGAGAAATCGATTGGCGTGTCAGTCTGAATAAGCACTGCTGCTTCTTTAGCGATGCTGTCAACTTCCTCGTTCCCAGCCAGTCCAACGTGGCGTGGAATCCACTGTGAGGTGGCTCTGAAAGGCATGATCAAAGCCCGCCCCTAGTTTATCTTAACTGTATCAACGGAGGCTTAAAAAACAAAAACAATTAACAATTCGGGGTAAATCTGTTACTGTCAGTGACCAGTTGTGAAGAACTGATCTGGGTAATGTCCACAAGGACAGAAGAACTCGTCATACTTTGCAGGCCGACAATCGTTTTTAGTGGTAACCTTTTTTTTTTCAAGGGCACTTAGTAGGCTACTTGTAACAAAAACGCATGAGTATGAGTCTTGATTATTATGTTTACGATTTGACAAAACTCCACTGTTGTGACGTCTGGTGATGTCGTTTTTGTTTTGATTGTGAAATAAAGAGTTTTTGTACAAAACCTACAAGTCTTTAAAGGGTCGTTGATGTTGGCAATTTTAAGCTTTTTATGTGTATTTCATTTTTGTTGTTGTGTTCCTGTCTATTATGACTCTTTTAGAATATTTGCAGTCCTAAATTTAGTTTGATTTTATCGATAGGTACAATACGAGTATTTGAACTGTGTATTCCCCGAGCTACGAGTATGTCGAAATGGCTTGTATAAATGATATGATTAAAATGTAGTATTTGTGTGGCGTCACGGGAAAATCAGACGTGCGTGAAAATAATGAAATTGAGAACACAGACATTTTCCTCAACTACTGGCAATTTTTCATTTTATTTGTGGCCCAACAGCTTTTATTTCCAATTCAGTGTGGGTTTTTGCATTTTGCACTTTCCAAGGACATTCGAGCTTAGGGGGTCACCACACTTGTTGTTTTTGTCGTCTGCTTCATTACTCCTATTGTTTAAGTGCAAAATACTGTTCTCTCGCTCTCTGGCTAAAGGCACACCGTGATCTTTTCGGAGGACTCAGACAACACAGATTATGCTCTCAAAAGAACCAATTTTATCTTGTGTTCCAGTATGAAGATTTTTTTGCGAGGATTTCTTAAATGAAAACATTATGCACGTGCAGCGTTCTGTTCGAGAGACCACGGTACAGATAAACATTATTTTTTTCCTAACTGAAGAACGTTGGTTGATTTATACTAAAGGCTGCTTTCCTGTAGACACATACCGGTAGTTTGAGGTTCGTATTATGTTAACATTTTGGTCAGGGAGATGTGAACTCCTGGTATCACATGTGGTTGTGGAAAGGGGTTGCTTTGTTTATCCGTATATTATGGGTTCTTCTAATCAAGATGGCAAAGCAAAGATACGGTGCAAAAAGGGGAAGTATTAAACTTTTTAAAGCAAAACCGAGCGCACGCCTTCTTAAAACTTGGAGTTGTAGCGCTTCCAGTCATCGATCCGGCCAATAACCATACAATGATCATGGTAAGACTGTGTCGGCTGCTGGTATCGATAAAGCCTGTCCCCTCGATCCCTCAGTGGCAAGACCATGTCGTCTGCTTTCATGTGTGGGGGCGGGGCGAGAGGAGGAAGGGACCATTGCTTTCTTCTGACGTCCCTGAAAAAAGAGGATATCAAGTGACTATGGTTCTTTCTTTTTGGGGCGGTTTTTTTTTTTTTGGTTTTTTTTTGGGGGGGGGGGGTCTTAAGCGTTTAATCCCATATTAGAAAAAAAATGCAACTTCTTAAGTCAGAGCACTTAGCTGCCCAATAGAACTCCGCCTCGACAGGAGTCTGGTGACGAGGTGTAGTTTCAAAACCTCTTTCAACATCATAAAGTCATTATACAGAGGAGACGTCCAAATATGATCATCTCAGATAGGACCGAACTAAGTGAAGAAAATAAAATGTCATTATTTATTGTTTCAAATGTAGGTGTTTTACTGCCCCATCGACACAACTTGGGTCATTTAGGAGGCGAGCTTGGACCTTGTCTGTCAGGGCCAACCCCGGCTGAAAGGGATTGGGATACAACACCACAGCAGAAAGATGGAGATACTCAACAAACATTCTCCCCACACGGGAATCGAACACGGGTTTTCTACGTATGACAGCGAAGCACCTAACCGTTACACCCCAGACGTCAGTCTGTACAAGGTAGAAAAAAAAGCATTGAGAGCACTGCTCACTTACAAAACCGAGTCCAAGAACTAGAACACCCCTCTGGGGACTTGAAGAAGGATTATAATTTCACCACAGTAAGCATGATACCTACTGAGTTAAACGACGCGCCTTGAGAAGAGTTGTTGAACAGAGTTAATTAAGTTAACGGCTCGTCGGCAAAAATCAATTGTGTGTGTGTGTATGTGTGTGTGTGTGTGTGTGTTTGTGTGTGTGTGTTTGTGTTTGCATGTTTGTTTGTGTGGATGAAAGTGTGTCTTTGTGGATGTACGT